CTTACCACCTCTTCTGAACAGCAGGGGATTATTTCCTTTCTCTCTGCTTCCTCTCAGTCTTGTTCCGTCATCTTTTTGACTGCAATTTAAGTAGTGCAACTTGGGGCAAGCCTGGGGCACAAGGCAGTGGTTAAATCAATGGGGGAACGGCTCCTTCTCCAGTCAAGGCAAATGGAAACTACTAAATTCAGCTGCTCCCATGCTGGGAGCCCTCAACGACTCCGTTCCTTCCCAGGGTGGACGAAGCATGTTCACAGCAAGCCCGGGTGTCTGCCCAAGAGGGTGCCAGGAGGCATCTGGCTTGCTGCAAAGCTTCACTAGCTTTTAGTCCTTGTTTGCCGTGGCTGGACAAGCATCTTGACCTCAAACAGGAAGAAAATAGCCCATCATTTCACTCTTATATCAAAATAAGGTAATGCAGCTTTCAAATAAGTTTCACTTTCAATCAAGGTTTAGAAGACTCCTTCTTCCTTCTTGTGCCCAGTTTCCCTAATTTCCTCTAGGTATTAAACACTGCTGAACGATCCTAGTGATCAGAGCTCAAAAGCAGCTCTGGGACTCTACTGATTTTCCCTGCTCTCTCATCCACTAACATAACATGGCTTTTTTTGTTTGATTTCACAACAAGCAATGCCATCCTATCTTTAGTTTCAACACGTTTCCTAATAAAATAAACAAACACAGAAAACCAATAATAGTGTTCAATCCAAACGATCAAAAGTTATGAGAAATTCAAAATTTTCAATGCAAAAATTTTTGAATCTTTTAGGTAATGAGTGTTGATCATTTCCTTGCATAATACTTTTCTAAGATGTACCATGACAAACGCAAAATCTCGGGTTTTGAAACTCTAGCTCTGTAACTCTTAATTCCGATGAACAGTATGTATCTCACTTTCCAATCAGCATTAAAATGAGAAACTCATACCTATTTTTTTCTTACAGAAAATGGGAGGAAAATGTAATTAATGAACTTTATTAAGCCAACTCATTGTATAACAACCTATTTTAGCTGCTGTAATGAAGTAATAAGAATGAAACTTTCTTCTTTACTAGAAAGTAATTTTTAGGAAGGGAAAACATACTCAAAGATTAAAATAGGCAAGGTAATTGAAAATGCTTGGGTTTAAATTACACTATTAGACTAGTCTGGAGTTTTTTCACTGTTGAGGCAGAAATAATACTACTCATTACTCATACTTCCAATTATAAATGTATCTGTTCTCGTTTTAAATCTAGTTCATAAATATTGAAAGCATAATGTAAAGTATTGCTCTACAAGCTCACTTTTATATGCCAGGAATAGGACAAGTTGCTGGCCCATTTATTGATAATAATATACTTACATAATTATGCATAATACTAAAACCCTCATTATCATTCTACCAAGCTTGTAGCAATACGTATTGGTTAGGATTGCCTTTCAGAAATAAAGTGTTTCTAAATACAGTCATCTTCCTTTCAAATAAACAAGTGAAGAAACAAATGGCAGCAGTTAATGATCATTTTAGAATGAACAGATGTGAACTCATCTTCAAAGGTCTCTCAATATGTCTGAGATCTCACCTGTAAAATTCACCACGTCCTTGGGTAAAGTTGCCTATATCAGTGACACTTGCACTACAGCCGGCATACCCACAAGGTCACATAAACTAACACCTAAACAAAGTGTGGAGAGGAGGGAAACAAAACTTCTGTGAACAGTCATACTCCTCCATTGAACTGTAAAGCTGAACTGACTTTTTTCTTTTGGAAGTCATTACAGTCTCAGATACCATATGCAAAATGTGCCAAAATTTCACATTTTGTTTTCAAGTCTTATTTAGCACATCCCAGTTAACTATATGGAAACCATTTTCTCTACCATTCATACATGAAAGACTATCAGTGCTTCAGGATTTGTAGAGGTGATTCCAAGCAGCTCATCCTCAAAACTCCTCAGGTAACAAGCAACGTCTTTCAGTCAGCCAGTGGTAGAATTGAGCTCTCAGCTCCCTTTTTGGTACACTTGAATAACGAACAATAATCACAGCTGATGTAAGAGTTACCAAAGCACAAGAAGAATTTATGCCCTACTAACAGGGTACTGTATATACTAAAGTATTTTCAATTAAGTTTTTTCATTCAAAAGGAGCAAGCCCCCCTTCTCTTTTTCCACAGAAATGTACAGCTTCACATTCACCACCAAAATGTTTATATAGAGAATAAACTTCTCCTGATCTTCAACTGTCAGATAGAATTTTTAAAGATTGACTTTTCTCGCTTCTGGGGACCACCAAGGTTAAAGTTAAAAAGCTCCGTCATGTTTTCATCTGACAGACTTCCATATAAAAAAAAAAAATCTAATTTGAGGTACCCAGAGAATTTAATCACTGCCATGTTTCTTTTCAGAGGCTATTCTGCTTTCAGCTTTTAACTTATTACTGCAATGCATTTTGCAATGAAAGGTGCTACATGAAATTAAATTTCTTTCTACTCTTTCAGGGTCAACGCTGAAACCGAACACCTCTGACAACCTCAGATGTTTCATCAGTATTAATTTCCCAATGGAATTGTCACTGACCCAGCAACCCATAGTTTCCATTTTCTGAGAACTCTTGGATCACTAAATGTTCATCCCTAATTTAATCGTGACATCTCACTCAAATTGTTTTTACTATCTTTGAAATGGTCAAGAGTGATTAAGGGCAATAGTGTATCAGTTCCATGATGTCACTTTATGAAGTAAATCACATTTAACCCTTTTTAGGTTTGTCAGGTCTCAGTCATTCAAAAATGTATGCCACTGTGTAATTTTATTTGCACAAATATTTCTACTGATTTCAGTACAAATCACTCATATTATTGACCAAAACCATGTACAGGTGTTAAAAAAAAAAAAAAAGTTACACTTATAGAGTTCAGTAACATCAATTACACAGCTAGATTGCATAGTCCACCAGCCAAAATTTGCAGATTTAAATGGGCAACTGTAATTTTTGCCTCTGCACATTCATATTATGCACTGAATGACAGCTCTTTGACAAAAGGAACAAAAAAGGTTATTGCGATCATGCAGTTAAAACCTGTACCATGCACATATACAATATTTCGATTCAGTTACATGGGTATTCTCCAGGAGTAAGCATTATCAGATAGCATTAGCTACCTGATCAGCCTATAACTTTACATTACCTAACAATGAAAACACATTTCGTTAAGCAATTCTGTCATCTCAGGGCATAACAGAAAGTTACAATGTCATTATGATACAGTCCTTAGGCTGGCTGGAGAGAACAGAGCATCATTCCCCTTCTTCCTGAACACCACCTTGAGAGACTGTCCACCAGCCAAAATACTAAAATACGGCTTGTATCAGTTGCTAGAAACCATTACTAAATGAGATCCTGAAATAGTTTCAATAGCTACCAAACACCATGGGAATAAAAAGATTCAACCACCAGCAAGGTTGATCCCACCAGCACCCTGTTGAAAAACAAACAGCTAAGTGAATCCAGAAGAACTAGGCGCTGCATGAAGTTTAGTCTCTGTCCGTGCTTATCACAGACAGCAACATGACACAACACATGGCCGTGAGCCAGAGTCTGTAAACACTACTACCAGACGTAAAATCCAGAAATTTGACATTAGCATAACATGCAAAAACATCTGTTTTAGGGAGAAGCACATTCTATATATCTTATTTCTCAATCAGTTCTGACAAATACAGCTAAATACAGATGCTGATAAAAGGGATTGCAAAATGTATTCATGTAAAGTTATGCAAATAAGTCTACACTGACCATTACATAGAATTAAATATCAAGGCTTCTCCTATGCTATTTCAGTGTATAAGTCAGGAGCAGAAGAATCACCAGTTTTAAGAAAAGGAATTAAATTTTCATTAATGCTCTTATACCTGAGGTAAAAAAACATGTACTGCGTTGCAACTGCTCTGCAGGCTCCTGTAGCTGAATATCCACATTATTACACTGTAGCATTTCTATGTAAATAACAAGGTGAATGGCCTTTCCAGACAAGATGCTGTGTGCACCCTGATGTAAAAATTAAGGCATGCTCCCAAGAAACACACAAAACATTTCCATCTGTCTTAAGTAGGGATGTACTATGAGTAAAACTAGTAATCAGTGTATTTTATAAACGCAGTGTCTTACTGACTACAACACAGTAACCGATATTATACTGAAAATCTAACCTTCTTTAAACTCATTTGTTTATTTTAAATTACATGTTCTTGGATCCATCTGTGAAAACTGGGAGGTTAATTATGATAGTATATTGCATAATTCCACAGCTAAATGCTGAAGTAGTTGTACATAAATGTCATATGTTTGTCTTAGAAAAACTAAAAAGATTAATTAGGAGACCAAGCCCAAGACTTTGGAAAGTAATACTCTGAACACAATTACATCATTACACTGTGTACTATGTAAGTTGAAGTTTTAATTAGTAGGTAAAACACTAGCCATGGCAAAAAAAATAATAATCCAAAATTCTAAATTGCATGCACCAGACTTCTTTTTTACTGACATGGCTTACAAAAAGACACTATGCACAAGCCAGTCACAACAAAAGCCATTTAAACTTGTTACATGCTTTTGATGAAGGAACTACCTGTTAAGCGTTTCAGTCTTGTTCTTCTTCTTACCCACGTTATCCTCACCTATTTTAAAGTTAACCAATCACATCAGTAAAGAAAATGCTCTAGTAAACAAACTAGGAAGCAGAGTAAGGAACCAGTTTGAAAAGTCAACTGAACAGTATAAGGTCCTTCAAGAGCCCTAGTAGCCACTTCTCCATCTCTGAATCAGGTCTAGCCTAGCCTTCCACTTTTAGCCAACTCCACTACAAAGTGTCATTTCTAATAGCCTCCACTCTCCTAGAGAAGGATCTCCACAGATCACCGATGGTAGAGAGCTTTTCCATCAAATTCAATAGACTCTGGACCATACCCAGAACATTACTTTATCCAGTTACTTTACATCCAGTTACTTTACTCACCACATATTCAAACACAAGTGTCAAGGTCTCCTTGGTGTGAATGATGTCATGAAGCAGCACAATGTTAGCATGTTTCAATCCTTTCAAAAGAGAAGCTGAAAAGTAAAACATACATGTTATCTTAAAAAGGATCCAAATATTTTACACCAATTGGAATTTTTTTTTTTGTGACTTGGATGATTTTTTTGACATCTGAATTTCATAAACTGACAACCAATAGTTGTACTTTAGCATCTTCTATGTCCATGAGTTCCACACGTTCAGTGTATTTGAAGATCACGCCTTCCCATTCAGTGTTATTTTCTCCACCTTGTTGGTCAAACTCAACCTCACTTTGAGGCAAAAATGAGCTGTGGCTAGAGATGCTTTTCTTACGCAGCCTCCTCTAAGTGAATCAATCACTCACATCTGATCAACCAGATGCCAAGTTTGCTTCTACACTCAAAGATACTTTCTTGTCTCAGACAAAAGTCAAGCATGTCTTCAAAATATCATCTTTCCTACGCAACACAACAGAGTTGCTTTCTAAACAAAGTGCAACATCTTTCCTAAGAAGAGTGTTTTAAGCAATAATTCTCCTTTCTCCCATACACAACACAGGTTTGATGGAATCATTTGTATTAGCTCATGAGAATAAATACACAGTATTTTCCCACCATATATATTTTTAATGGCACTAGCTCATGTTTTCAGACTACTGACAAATAAAGACTTATCTAGTGAACTTCCAGGTGATCTCCTTCATTAAATTTCTTTTACATCATAATACATTTTTAATGTTCATACCATATTACATATTTAATGTTCCACAAGACATGGCATATTTTAGCAATATATGCTGACAAGCCATGTGTTGTTATCAATGTCATTCTGTCGTTGGTGCCTTGTCATCTCATGCATATATCTGAGCAGGACTATCAGTCACCACAACAAAGTAAATAATAGATAAAAAGACATGCAAATGAGCCGCATATTTCTATACTGAATAATGTGGAACTTTCTTCTGTCACCTTCCTTTTGTCAAAGAAAATAAACAAAACACCAAATGTGTGTCTCATTCCACTACTCTGCAAAATAGAAGCTGGGGAGCTTCCACGGCACTGTTACCCCTTGCTGTCCTATTGAGGGTGCTCCATCAGGCTGAGGTAACTCCAGGGGTCATCTGGCTTTAAATTATGATAAGTACGTATCACCTCTCATACTAGTCTTCAAGAGATTGATCTGACAAGCTGATCACTCTAGGAAGCAAGACAATAGCAACATGGCATCTGGCTGAATCAGTGTCCCTCTACAAGCACCCTCACCAGCAAAACTTTGGAGTTCACACTAGGCAGAAAGTAGATAGCAAAGGGGAAAATACCATACAGCAGCTTCAAAGCAAGTATATCACAGATACCCTGATGACAGAATTGCAAGCCTGCAAGCAAGCTCTATGACCAGGAACGAGGCAACCCTTCAATCTGGCTGAAGAGGTGAAAAGAAATGTTTCAAAAGAGCTTGCTTTTGCCTGCACTCCACAACTCATGCTATTTAGAGAGTCAGCATAAAGGAACCTTTCCTGTGCTCTGAATATGTTGCCACTGGGCTGTAAAATCAGCTCTTGCAATTTCAATTATTTTTTTTAAACATTTGATCAGTGCATCTCAAGTAGCTTTTAACATTCCACAGATTAAGTAGAAGTTTTTTATCAAAGGAAGAGCTGTGCACAATAGCATCATCATCTTAGAATTCAGAGAATTTCTTGGAATAAAAACTCAGAGATTTGGATATGTTGGGTATTTTTAAAGGATAACAATGAAAAATTGCTCCTGGAGAAGGAATGGATACAAACAACGGATAATCAGAACAACTGTTCCAAAAGGCACCTTCTACCAGAAATGAGAACTTTTAACCTGGGGTACCATGAGAAGAGTTTACTTGCAGAAACCGAGCTTTTACCAGCTCTTCCCTCAAACCTTATCAAATGACCATATACGCAGAGAGATTGGGAACATAAAAACTGCCTCTTAGCAGAGCCTGTGTCAAACTGTAATAGTATTTATGACCTCTGTCAGCATTTGCTGTTCATATCATCACCTGAGGCCTTTAATTCCTCCAGTTGGTCATTACTTTGTTGCTAAAATCTGTACATGGGTCATTAAAGCTTAAACAGCACTTTGAAAGTAGCTTACCCTGAGATCTTTGCAAATACTGTCTGTCCTCTTCAGTCTCCTCCCCCACCCTTATTTATCTTGTCTAATATCCAATTCTCCCCTTTTACAGCCTCAATATTCAACATCTGCCATATATTACAAGAACAACAAAACATCACCTCCAGGGTGAGATTTCTGTCTTCTCCATTAGTCCAAGTGAAATACAGTAAATAATATAGCACAGACAGCAAAATCATCTTATTTGCACTAATTGCTTCTTATTTCCACAGTGTACAATTCTACTATCCATTTATACTGTGAGAAACCAACATAACTGGTGAAAGTAAGAGAAGAGCACAGGGGGTAATTCTATCAGGATTCTTACCAGTAAGATTGCCTGTCTGTGAAAACACTGCTTTGTTGCTTAAAAAAGGAGGAAAAAAGGAAATAAAAAAAAAAAAAAGAAAAAGAAAAAAGTTGGTTGAAACAGGAAAGCTGTTTCTTCCTCCACAGAGTACTTTAAAAACAAAATGAAATATGAACCAATGGTGCCTGGTGTGTGCTTCTTCCAGAAACATCTCCTTTCAGAACAAACGATCGATACACTTCCTCTTTTGGGCAACTTTTTGCTCAAAGGGGATAGAACTTCGGATGAACTCCACTAATTCAAAGACAAAACCCAGAAATTCACAGCCAAGAGAATGAAAGAGAGTCCAGGGAATCTATCAGCACCAGCCTGACACAAGCCTGACTTCACCTTTGAAGCTGCCAATGCAGCTGCTACTGGAGCTCAGTGAGAAGTCAGGTGCTGCTGTGCCTGGTGTTACTTCTAGATCAAAATAATTCTCCCAGAGAATGCCATCTCCATCCAGTGATTATCACCCACAGGTTTCACACAGAGGTTTTTTCTTTTAAGATAAAAGGTTAAAATATTGTTGAAAAAGCATTGCAATAACTCACAAAAATGGGATCAACGTACTAGTACTGACTGTATCCTTAGCATGTATTTTTAAAAACAAAATTATATAATGCTGTTTCAAAACTGCTGGCACTCTTTTTTCACCCTCAGTATTAAATGTAAGATAAACAGATAGCAGCACTTTTAATTCATTTCCCCAAAGAGTTTTGAGGAGGCACAGGAGCAAATAATACTAAAATGCTTTTTTAAAACACCTTGGACAATATATTATATATGTTTGAACGGGCAGGTGCTTGTTCTGTCACCTATGTTTGCACATTCCCTCACAGCAAATTCTAGCAGTAAAAAACAGGGCAGAGGAATTGGTGACATACTTCAGTAATTAACGACATCCAAGATGATAATTTCTGTGACTTGTACATAAGTTCATGACCTGCGTCACTAAAAGTACCAACACAGCACTTCTCCATCAAGGGCTAATAACCATATTTGCATACCTAAAGGAAACACATTGTATTTGCTTGAATAACCATCACGGACTTCAACAACAACGGGATGCTCTCATCTATTATGAGCTCCTGGCAAGCTGCCTTATTTCTTGTGTCGGTCAAGGAGCTTTTTGCTGTTCCCAGATGAGCTGGGTTCTAAAGTATGCTCACTCCACGAGCAAGCCAAGACAGATGGACTGCAGCCAACTCTTATCCAAAGCCTGAGTAGCATCAGTAAATCAGTGCTTTGCACCCTGCAGGGTTTACAGCATCAGCTCAAGCCTGCCACTCCATTAACAAAGCCCTGTAACTTTAGATCAGCCTTGACTTACCTCTAGAAGACTTGGAGTGTTTTGAAAAAGGCTATTGCAGGATGCCCATAAAGTAACATTTCACAGCTGTATGTCAAAATCAACAAAAGTAACTATTACTGTTGACTCCCACGCCATGTGCAGGAAGAACTTCTCACTAGCAGCACTAGCAAAGATGGTACTTTCAGACATGGCAAGTGCATTAAACTTGAACATTAATTATGATCCTTGGATCACCCTAATGCAATTAATTCAGTCCTGCAATTCCTGACTATCATCTTGCTCTCACTTTGTGAAAAATCACAGATCTCCACTGTGGCCCTAGACAGAAGAATCACCCATGATTTCCAAATTGTCTGGTATTTCAGTGACTGGAAGCTCTTCTGAGCAACAGCAGCAGAACTCAATCTCATACTGCTCATATGCACCACAATGTACAACTGCTGCTGATACTCTCACAGATTTCCTACTATATGCAAAGGCTGTGATATTCCCATCATTCTTCTAAAAAGTAGCTATGAAAATGCTTGCTTTGCTCAGTATATAGTAGTTGAGGTGTCCTCTGGCGATCCCATGCACCAGTGCTCACCATTTCCCATGCTACTCCTCATATAGAGTGTTCACCCTTTCTCACTGTCACTCTAGGACATCTCTCATTGGGAGAGTTTTATTCTTGAAGACAGCACATCATGGCAGTTTGCACCTATCTAACATCATTAATGCAACCGTGCATCTTTGCTGCCCTGTTTAATTTCTGAGACACCAAAGTTGCACGTTCTAGTCAGTAACATAAATTTGTGAAAGCAAGTAATTTGTTGTGCTTCAGAGCCAAACAACATATCTGTAAAATTCTGTGGCTTGTCACACTCTGCAGACACAACCGTGCTCTCTGACAGACTGCCAACTTCCTCACATAAACATCTGGGTTCAGTCTCTGAGCTCTCCTGGAAAGGCATCTTTAGTGAGAAAATATTAATGTTTTTTTTCTTCATCATGTCTTCTGAACAAACATACTCAAATGTGTCTTATTGCCTACACAAACTACAGAAGTTCTGCTTCCCTTCCCAGCATCTTATGTTCCCATCTAGACATCTTTTATAGAAATTTTTAAAATTTAGCCTTGGAGCACAATGTCCCTTACGCTTCTCATCCACTTCCCACACATCAGGACTTTCTGTGTAAAACGTTACTTATAATTCTAGCACAGAGACAGGAATTCAGCACTCTGTTGGTTTTGCAGTCATA